AGGGGGATTACAAAACTTCTCTGGGAAGGGGTAATATATTTTTCTCTGTCTTTTCAAGTTGTCCACTGGGAATCCTGTAACAAAAAAAACAGATTAAGAGCATACAAATTTATTTAATATAAAAGAAAAATATGTACATTTATTTCATATAAGTTTTACATGACACGGAAAGCTTCATAAGAAAATAAAGACCTGAAGAAACAGTTCAACTTGAGTGTTTTTACACTAGCTTTCATAAAAAGCAGAACGGCGTGGGAAGACAGGGTAGGATAAAGGTGGGCTAAGCGCAGGAAACTGGCAAAAACTTGGAAAGGCCTGTTTATTCAGCTCCCTCTCTGTCTCTTCTCTTGCTCCCAGAGAGGATGCCCCTTTCCCCTGTGCACGGGGAGGGCACCTCTCACGTGAGGGTTTCAGGGGAAGGTCAGGAGTCCTTCCTGCACCTGCCATTTCTCAAATTCCTTCAGCGTGAGACATGCATATAATATGTCAAGGTGCCAAATTTGGGAGTAACCTGTCCTGAACCCCATCATTTCTGTGGTAGCCACAGAATGAGAAGTGCTGCAGGAAACCGAGGCAACCCTAACGACCTAAGGGACTAGAGCTAGGTACTGAGAAGATATAAAGACTCCTTGGGCCTCAGCTCCACCCTCTGGCTTTTTCCTAGTGGAGGTTAGTAAGGTTGCTGTAGCCAGCTCTGCAAGCAAAAGCTTACAAGCCCACAAAAGAGAGACAATGGATGATAATTCTCTACCACTCCCATCCAAAAAGCAAAATAACAACAACAAAATAAAAACAAACCTCCTGCTTGGTAGATCCCCAAATCAATCACATTGGCCTAAGAAATGGAGCACTGTTATTGACTCATTGTGCCATGCAGGTGGGGGTCTGACACCCAAAAGTAGAGGAGAAGGGCATGGGACACAGGACAATCATTACACACAAGCTCTTCCAAAAACACTCAAGTGTGGCTAACTAAACCTACACTATATTTTTTAAATCATTTACAATTATTCTATATAAATAAGCTACAAAAGTTCTCTACAATTCCAGTACTGGAGTTTCAACCCTCCTCACAAAGGAAGAATCAATAAAAGCCTCAAAGCTAATCGCAGCTTGAAGAAAAGATTTCTCGTACCTAGTTGGAAACTCCTCCTCGGTGCAAGTCCTGTGAGGCTAAGTGATCCAGTCTATTGCATATCCCACTCCAGACCCCATCCGAATGTTGCCTCCTTGTGTCTATCTGTTAATATTCAAATCTTCACACTCGGTTTTTACTCTAGATATTGCTGCCCCTAACTGATCGCTCCACAAATATATGCAAAGATGGAACAGGACAAAATTATACATAAAATCATGGAAATGGTCAACCCTGATCTTTATCACAAATCCGATAATCCACATGCTTTTGATTTGAAGTATTAATAATTTTTAAAAATAATAAAGTATTAGTAATTTTTCTAATAGAAAAAGAACTTGTAGCTATCAATTTCAATTCAGATAGCACCACCTGCAGAGTCATTATGTAATTCAAAAAACCAAGCAAGCATTGCATTTACTTTGAAGAGCAGGAGACAGAACTAACAGGTCAGATTCTCACTTGTTATGTTTTCCTTCAGCCTTGCCTTTACCCACTGTATCACAGTTTTCTATAAGCATATTTTCCAGAAAATTTCTATGTCTAGGGCTTTAACATTTCAATTGTATTCACAAACCTTGAAATCTAAAGGCTTAGCTTAAAAATGTAAAATCGAATCTAAAGGTATTAAAATATTTTACTTATCTTCTTATGCTGCATGATCTCCTTTAAAGTTAACACTTATTTGCACATTTGGAGCAATATAGAAAACGTGTAACTACGCACTAGAATGAAGAAAACTTTTTTTCTTTCTTTTTAATTATTGCAAATTCACAATGTAGCTCCATCCAGTCTCTGTAAATGGTTAAACCTTTTGGTTAAAGGAAGTATTTATTGATTGTTCCCTAGAGTACATTAAAAAATGGTTTCCTACAACTTTAACTGTTAATTAGCTCAAGTGTTTGGTTCAGAAACCACAGCCCTGCTTAGTGTGACCTCACTGGTATGGCATCTGGGCAATTATCTTTGAGATAATGAGCCTTTTCATCCATAACAGAACAACAACCTCTCACTTGGATTGCAAAAGATCAGAGGCAATCTGCTGCTCACCGGGGTGCCTGCCATCCCCTTTGTATCATACCTTATTTCAAACTAACCTTTCACATTCTGAATTAATTAAAGTGTTTTCAGATTAAAAATTAATGAATTCACTTTAGCATCATTTGGGGGGATAATAGGCACATAATATCATCCAAACAACGTTTTGGATCCTGATACCACAGTCTAAAAGGGAAGAAAGCTACATGGCTAAAGCATTTTCGGGCACGTGTCATAGCCTAGCCAGATCCTGGTTTTGGTAACTCAGGAAAAAAAAAACTTTAGAAAGGATCTGGTGATACAGTGTGGTAAATGCTCAGTAAGCATTTATTCTAATTTCATTCAAAAAAAAATTAATATGGAGGTTGCCAAGTTTTCTATCAGGTTGTGATAATGAGATTCCTAAATTTTACCCTCAACAGCTCCTCTTTACCCACTTCCTGCCTTGCTCTCTCGCCCATTCTTCAACATGAAAGGTGCCTTACCTTCCTATGTAACACTGAACAGATATAAAACCCTTTCCTCAAAGGGTCAATCAAGCACTGCTTTTCAGAGACTTGTTAGAACCCCATTTCTTTAAAAGGCTGTCTTCCTGAAGGAGTTTCAGATGGATGAGATTCTATGGGGGAGGAAGAAACATTACCCTTCAAGGTTCTTTCTGTTGATCTCATAAGATGAACAAGAGAAAATAACCAAATTTAATTATATTCGTATGTCTGAGAGCCCCACATACACAGGAGAGTGAGCGCCAGGAAGGGAAAGTGAGGTGTATATGACATTCTGGGCTGCAGATGAGGTAAAGCACCTTGGGGCTTCAGAGGGGAGGAAGGTCACTGCAGGTTGATAAGAGGAGCAGATGCTCAGTAATTAGCCGTTTGCTTTGCCCTATAGATAGGTCATAAAAAATCATCTCCGTTATTATGGGCAAGGCCCCTAATTTAAATTCTTTAAGCCAGAGGTAAAAGTTTCTCATGAGCCTGCAGGGTCTCAGTTGCCTTCAGCTCAAAATAATCCACATGCCAAAGTAGTACATCCTGGAGAGGCCTGTTCTGAACCCCTTCAATTTTGTGTAGGTTCGTTATTGGAGAAATGCATGAAAGAATGGCCTTTTTCTGTTGCTAGTGGGGGCAGGGTTCTTGGGGCGCTACTGGAATAAGCATTTCTGGAGGCCCCACAGGTGTATGAAATGTGGTAGAAAGCTTTATTTGAGTGGAGTTACATCCCTCGGGGTTGCAAAGTCCCATTTCTCTTAGTCCGGTCCTGGAAGAGGTGCAGCCGGGAATTCAGCAGAGCTAGAAGCAAAGCCAGTGTCCAGAATTTCTGTTCCATGGTGGAGCTGAGTCTGGCGTACCATCAGCCTAGTTTCAGCCCATTAGCCCATTGTGTGGGGTCCACATGGCGATGAGCCATGTGGGCAAATGCCGAGTAGTGCCCTCCCCCTGCAACAAGAGCACCAGGAGCCCCAGCGCGCGAGAGAGAACCCTTTTGTTTAGGGGATTAAATATCTCAAATTCCATGCCCTTGCAGTGGCCATGCCTACTCTGGCCAATGACCTGTTTGTGCCCAGGTTTGACTGACAAGTGCCTTCCCTATTTCACCCAGACTTTACTGGGCATACGTCTATTTGGCCTTCCCTTTGTTCCTTTCCAGTTATTCATAACTAGTTAATTACAACGGTAGCAGGTATTGTGGGCAAAAAAGAGGCCACACACTAAACCTGACAAGCTTAGAGGAGGCCTGCATGGCACGCCTAACAAACTCAGAGAACAAAAGTAAACTCATAAGATGGTCTGAATGTAAAAATTTCTAACTAAAGGCAGGTCATGGAAGGTAGTCTGGTCCTAGGCCTATCACCTCCTTGACAAAGGTCAATCATTACCTTAGCCTGTCTATTGTCTTTTTGCATCTAAGATAACTGACTGTCAGAGTAATCCCCTTTTTCTGGACCCCTCAGGGTACCACCTCACACCAGAGCACAAGACCATAGCACCCCTCATTGGGTTCCACTCTGTATACAACAGGGACAAGAGATTTATAGCCTAGGATCAGGGTGGGGTCAGTGCATAGAAAATCACTAAGAGGAATAACAGGTGAGAGGGATTCTTGCTGAAGGAAGGTCAGAAATGATAAAATAGGAAGGGTGGGAGATGAGGAATTTGATCACATATGGAAGGAGAGGAATTTTCGATAAACTAACTTAGCAGGATTCTTGCTAAAACTGAACTAGTTGCCCAAGGATAGAGCCCAAGTTCGGGGCCTAGTCAGAAGGAAACTCAAGTTTGAGAAGACTGACTCAAGTCTCGTCAAAAGAGAGAGTCTTTGTCAATATTAAAGCCCCTTAATATAACCTTGAAATGATACAACCATACTCTATTTTATGTTTGACTAGATTTACTAAGAAGGGAGGGATGGTGACTACCCTGTTACCATCTCCTTTGTCTTTTGGTTTCTAAGAACAGAAATCCACTCAAATTAACTCAAGCCCAAAGGAGAATTTTTTTTAAAAATATGTTTTTATTGATTTTTTTTTTTTTTAGAGAGAAAAGAAGGGGGAGGGAGAGAGGGAAGCATCGATGAGAGAGAAAAACATCGATTGGTTCCCTCCAAGCACGCACCCCTACCAGGGACCAAACCCAACCAGGAATTGAACCGGTGACCTTTCAGTGCACCGGTTGGCACTCAACAAACCAAGCCACATTGGCCAGAGCAAAGGAGGAATTTTTTTCAGTGAGAGTACTTAGTGTAACCAAGCCTCACAAAGAAGTAGATCCATGACCTGTGGAGGAATCAGAAAGCAAAGCACCACTCTCTCTCCCCTCCCCTCTCTCCTTTTTTCCACAGACTAGTTTTTGTCTCCAACAGTGACTCTGACTTGACCACTTTGGTCTGTTATGCACTACTGTTCTGAGGCTTTTGCAAGAGGAAATAGCAACATAACATGAAGATGATTGTTGTGGCCCATACCGATGAGCAGGAAGGTAAGGATAGTTCTCTGAGAAAGGGGTCTTTGGCATAGGCCAGCAAAACAAGCTGTTCCACCTGCATATTCACAACACACTGCCCAGGGCCGAATGCCTGCATATGGCCCTTAGCCCTAGCACACTGAACACAAATAATGAAAATTCAGGTATGTCAGAAGGCAAATCAGTAACAAATGACCATGTATGTGGCCTCAACTAACACATCTTTATACCACAGTTAAAGATTTTTTTTCTGTACTCAAACCAGAAAAATATCTAGCACTGATTTTGCCATTGATAAGCCTTTAATCTAAGGAAGGAATTGGAAAGAGGGAATAGAGAGAATATTTTTCTTTTTCCATAAAAAGGCGTATTGCTATTAGTCTCCTGGATGAAAGCGGGAATTGGGAATTAAATCAGCTGGAATAATGATAATGCATCTTAAAAATCACACCTAGAAAGCTGGCTGATTAAGTCACATAAAATTCATATAACTCCTTTGCCCTTTTAACAAAACTTGTTCCTGTCATGGGCTAATCTAATAAAAGGTTTTTGCTCACATTAGAAGTTATTTATGTGCTTGTTTTATAATTCTAAAACATGTGGCAGTAAAGTACATGCATAACATAAAATAACTAGAAAATGTTAATAGTTGATTAACCCTTAAATTTAAAAAGAGAGCTAAGGAAGATAGATTGTATTGTTATGTAGTAAACTTAGAGATGTCACTCAGTTTCATTACCTCTTTTCTAACAATAAATTCTTGCTTTCAGCTATCATTTTTAGAAATTGTTGAGTTGAACCTTGTAGGGGTTATAACTTGGTATTTTAAGGAACTTTCTTTTTGAGGAGGTCAAAGTACAGTTATTAAATGCTTCACTCACTAACATGAATTTAGGCAGTAAAGAAAAAATACACACTGAAGTTTCAGAAAAGTCAAGATCTGTGGCTGAAAGCCTTGTCCAAGTGATACAGGGAACAGAACTACATCTGTTTTATACATGGTACCAAGCTTTCTACAGGTAACTTTATGTTTCACGGGGAAGAACGGAATCTGTGCAATATTAAGTCAGATTAACATTTACTCTTCAATACTTTCACAGCAGAAAACATTGAGTCATCATTCCTGCGTCACCTTCTGCATCTCTCCAACCTTTTTCTACAAACCTCCAAGGAAACCTGGACTTTGAAACCCATCACACTTGTGAATAAGACCAAAATGTAGGCTCCACGGTCATGGGTGAAAAGCACAATGTTCAGATCTTATACTGTACAAATAATTCTCATGGTTAATAAATAATTAATTCTGTACTTAGATTTCTTGAGTTTGTAAGTCATTATTTACCAGTTACTAAGCACAGGCCATAAATAGCACCTTCCAGTGCTTCCCATCACCTATGGAGAAACCTCAGCACGACCACAGCCTGCTCCCTGGTACCTAAAAGGCGTGTCTTCACTCTTCCCACCTCTCCCTGCCCACTGTCACCGTTCTAGTCCAGCCTGCCTCCCAGAACCATCCCAGCTCACCTTGCTCTCCTTGTTTCTCTTATTGTCTGGGTGATACAAAGATGCAGATCCTTATTTGCCTGCTAATTCCCCAAAAATAGTTCCATCTCTCTGCAGCTATGGACATAATTTCCTGTTTCCTTACTTCCCTGAATTCCTTTTAAAAAAATGAACCAGTAGCTAAGACAATGCACACCTCTATTCCTTTTCATCTGGAAGAGCCTAAAAAGTGTTCCATAGTAAAAAACACACACAAAGGCCCCTCTTCAGCTCAGTGCTACCTGAGCTTGCCTGCCTTCCTAGACAAGCATTCTCATTAATCCACTGGCATTTCACTCAGACCATACAGATGGACTGATTTGGCAGACTCTGATGACATTTTGTTTTCCTCATTGAATAAGAAAATCTTTGCCCAAAAAAGGATCTCTATGTTTAATGAGTGTGGTGTTAGAAAGGTGTAAAACAGCTATAATAAAAATGGCAACTTTGGAATCAGTGTGTCATATATTTAATAATGGCTATGCAATCAATCTTAACAATGTAAATATTTGCAATGATTAAAATAAAACTATCCCAAGCTCTAGAAAATCTAATTTTTAGAAAGAAAAAAAAGAAGTATTTTGCTGCCTTTGGTACTATTTAGGCAGTCAGTATTTAGAATTTCCTTTATCAACTATGTTGCTTTCATAGTTACAAAGAAGGGTTATTCTTTTTTCTTTTTATTTTTTTAACTAATCTAAGTAGTTAATTTATATTACTTTCCACCTGCAGGTATTTCATTACCACATTGAAAGGTGAGAAAGTAAGACATTAATATGCATAGTTGCTTTCCTTAAGCAATTTAGAAGGGTATATACAACAGGAACTCTTTCCAGAGCTCCACCATTGCAAAGCTAAAAAATTATACCGAAATCAGCTATTTAACCTTCATAAATGAGATAACCTGCATAGCTAACATTAAATGTTTGATTTAATTTACTTGCACAGGTAACTCACTGAGAAGGCATTTAACCTTAAAGTTAATGGTATCAGCTCTATTCCACAGTGTATGTGCCTCCAATTGCTTTCTACAGCACTGCACAAACTAATATGAAGTTCTCGCTTTAGCAATATCCGTGGGCAGGAGGGAGACATTATCCTCAATTATACCTGCATAACATCTTTGTCAACTTCAGACGCCTTCCACTTCCAGAGCAGTAGGTGTGGAGAGTAGGGGCAGGAGCCTGTTCGCACCAGATAACCCTTGAAAGCAGATTCAAGGAGACGCCTTTTAGAGCCAAGCATCAGTGTCTGTTTTCCCTTGTGTCTAGGCAAAGAAGGGCCTCCATTTTCCTTTTAGTATTTGTACCTCGGCCACCTTTAGGATGATTAGAGATTCGGGGGTGTGTGTGTGTGTGTGTGTGCGCGTGTGTTACTAAAAGGAGGAAGTGACTATAAATTACTAGACATCACTGGAGAATTTACCATAATCTCAGCGGGGGAAGGCCTTTCAAATCATGATTTGAGAACTCAGAAGTCCTAAGATTAAAATGTGGATAAATGTAACTACATATACACCAAACATTTCTGCATGGCAAAATTCACCAAGCAAAGTAAAAACACATTACAAGCTGAAGGAAAAGACAACCATGTCATAAAAGACTTATCTTTCATTTAATATATAAAGAGTTTCTACAAATCAACTTTAAAAGTCCAATAACACATTAGAAAAATGGCAAAGAACATGAGCACATAATTCACTTTAAAGAAATAAATATGGATATGGCTCCTAAACGAATGAGGTAATGTCCAAGTTCATTCATGGTGGGACAAATACCACTGTACTGAGATACTAGTGATCATTAGCAGGCTGGCAAGGATGCAGAGGTTTAATATGATACTGTAGATGATATTGTAGAACAACCGACATTCCCATACAGTGCTGGTTAGTATATTATTTTGAAACTAATATGGAACATAATTTGTCAATATCCAGAAAATTTATAAGTGTATACACCCAGGAATTTCACTTCTAGAAATATCTTATAGATATACCCATACACTCAAGAAAAGACATTTTTTGTAACATCTTTTTATAAGAGCAAAATGAACAAAAAACCTCAATGTTCACATACAATGAATTTGTTAAATTAAGAAATATACATAAGAAAATACCATGCAGTCATTGAAGTAGCTCTTTGTATATTAAAATAAATTGACCTTCAAGATATACTGTTAGGTTAAAAAAATAAAAAAGCAAAGTGTGGAGCTGTATGTGTAGTAATAGTATGCATAAATCTGTGTAAAAAATAAGGGGAAAAGAATATTAAATAATAAAGATACCTAAAAATAAAGGACACATAAGAACTGGTAATATTAGCATGCTGCACTGAGAATTGTGTACCTGAGGGATAGAGGTGGGAGAGAGATTCTATGATGAATATCCTTTGTATTTTTAAATTTTAAAGCATATAATTACTATCTATACAGAAAATAAATAATTTTAAAAATTAAAAGAAGGAAGCAAGTAGATAAAGCTCTTGGCTAAAATAAGGCATGTAGTTTGTCCATGAATTTCACTTATTAAAGTCTTTTCAACTCTCCTCACAATGAAACAGAGATAGTCAAAATTAGCCGGGCCGGGCATGGCTCAGCGCTTGAGCGTCGACCTGGGATCCAGGCGATCGGGGCTTGATTCCCAGTCAGGGCACATGCCCGGGTTGCGGGCTCGATCAATGACTCTCTCATCATTGATGTTTCTATCTCTCTCTCTCCCTCTCCTTTCCTCTCTCTGAAATCAATAAGGATATATTTAAAAAAAGAAAAAGATAATCAAAATTATTCAGGGGGAAAAATTAGGAATGCCTTTCTGAAAACAACTCTTAAAAGTTGCTCATGGAAATTTTCCTTTCTGTAGAATTCCAAATGCTTTCTCAGCAGTTTCCCCACCCCATGCTTCATCTTCCCTCACAGAAGAAGATGATTTCTCTAAAAAATATAGGTAAAAACTTGCAACCCTTGCCCAAGGTCTAGATGGGATTAGCCCAGGCCCACTCAGTATCAAGCTGTAAGACTTCTTGGAAGGTAATTACCGTATTTCTCAAGTAAGGAGGCCTTCTCTAACATGGTCTGATTCTGGCTCTGGCACAGAATATTTTAAATGGGGACATTTAGAAATTTGGGACATAAAACAAGAAAAAATTTTAACATCAGGTTAGAGATTTGATATGAAATTAAATATTCTTAGGGTTTTTTTTCTATTCTTTTAATGTTTGATTTTCCATAAGTTGTTTTTGTTTGGTTGGTTGTTTTTTTGTGTTTGGGATTTTGTGTTTGTTTGTTTTTAATATGGGAGGTCTTTAGTTATTGGCCAGAGAAAAATGTTGTCCTAACACAAAGAGCCATGGGCTCTTCCCCAAGGTTAAGCCATGGAGGAAATGGGATGGGCAGGAATAGGTGGGAATTGGCAGCAAAGGCAAATGCTAACGAGGCGGGTGTGTGATTATTTCAATACAGACTATGGTCCAAAGATGAAAGGTGTCTAAGAGGGTGGGAAATAAGGTATTACCCTAATAATTACTAAAAAGTTATCACTAAATTGCTTGGCTATTTTTAAAACATAAAGTTGTCTCCAGTCCAACAGGACTGCAAGATATACATTATCATAATTGAAAATAGGTAGTTTTAAAACTACCTATTGCAGGACCAGCCAAAAGTGGGTTAGTGGAACAAAATATTTTAGTTTACACCAGAGAGAAAATACCAATAAAAATTAAAACTAAGCCAAAGAGATAAGTCACCACATTTACATTTTTGTGATCACGAAAAAGTTTCCCTCTGGCACCAAATCTTTTTCCTCATAAACTTAAGCTGGGCACAAATGTTCCTTCTCTGTGGTTTTTTTTTTAATTTTTTATCTCCCAGCACACAGTTTGACATTGCTTTGTTGTCATTAGCATCACCTTCAACAAATCACTGTCTTCACTTGTCCAATTACAGACAACATAAAATTGCCCACCCTCCATATTTCTTATTTCAAGACTGGTCTTGACATGACTCTACTCTAAATCACAGCAGCTGCTTGTCAGTGTCTATGACTTAAAGTTAATGCTCACTTGGCTTTTTCTTCTTTCTGTTGAACATTTCTTATGGATAATGACCAGAGTGAAAATGATGGCTTAAGAGCTTCTCTCCTTCCTACCCCTATCTCTTTCACTGCGGATTTATAGCACACTTTTTCTCAGGGAAATTTTAGTATATCTCCCCTCTGTTCAACAATAAAAGAGAAGAGATGATCATAAACTCTTTAGAGACAAGTCTTTCCCTTATCCCAAAATATAGAGTTACCACAATCAGTGAAGAAAATGGAGCGTTTGATGCCCTAAGAAAGAACTCAACGAACGTTTCTATTCATTTCAATCTACAGCTCCCAAAGGCAGGCTGAGAGGTGCACCTACAGAAAGTCAATCACCTCTGTGACTGCAATCAAGGTAAACAATGTTAGCAAATGAAGGAAGTAAGAGATCCCTCTCCTTTCAATCTGAAAAAAAAATCTAAAGAGGAGACAAGCTAAGCAAGTTAAATTTTATAAAACTAAGGTTCTGTGTGTGTTTTTACAAACTTTTTAATTCAAATTTACTTTTTTCCTGAACATAACGTAATTTAATCTGATTTTGAAAATACCAGGAGAAGTACAAAGATAAAAAACAATCAGTATAGTCTCACTTATCAAAGGTAACTACTATTAATATGTATTCCTTCCTTGTATCTATCTTCTTTAAATAGTTAAAATTATAGAAATATGCAAGTTTGTTTTACACTATATTCATT